AGGTGCGTTCCAATGAGTCTTCCTACCAATATGACCATGTTGCGAAAACAAGGTCAAACAACCACTATAGGAAATAACACTTCAAGGGAAATGAATATAAGGGCTTAAACCAAGTGAAATCAGACAACTTCTAAGATAAAAAACGCATCTTTAGTGGCACTAAGGCGATTCGGGTATGAGTTTCATGAAGTAATTTGCGGATTCAGAGTCAAGTCACATTTCATTTCCGTCACTTTTGAGGACTGAGAGGAAACAGGCGCTCAAAACGGCATACTTAGAGTATTCCAAACTTGAATAGTTGGAAGTTTTAATAATAAATTAGAAAGATGTGAATATTGGTCAAAGGCTGGACTTTACTTGTCTCGGACAAGTTTTATCTTGGCGTTAGGCCTGGCGAAACTTACAGACTCCCATCAAACGTCCGGGAATGTATTAAGCTGTACTCAGCGTACTAAGCTGGGAAACATGACTTATACCAAGGGATTTCGGACAAAGTGAGTTAATCTAGATACCCCTGACAATTTGACCGAATTTGGAAATTAAGGTAAAACAATTTCTATACAGCTGAAAGCGATTGGGGCTTATTATCTTTGCTTTCCTTTCTGAAATACAATTTATGGTGTTTTATTTCAGTAAAATTAAATTCTATATTCTTTTGAAACTACTTTTTAATTTAATTACTGCTTTATTTAGTATATATTTTCCTCTCTTCTATCATTCTCATAGGAACTTCCCTAAAATGCAGATCCTAGCTTCATTCTTGTCTATAGCTTGTAATCTGGCGTTCTACGGGATCGATCTTCACCCTGTTAAGGTACACCTTGTATTAAATATTTACAAATGACCTTTTTACCCAACTCTGCTTACGAATAATATTTTGCAGATCAGTTTTAATCATACAGTATGAAAGTATGATATTGAAGGCTTAGGCTTATTGGATCTATGATCCATTTTTGATTGCAATTTATTGTTCAAGGCTAACTATTATTTGGGTTTAATTTAAATGTGAAAAATGCACAAACAATCATGGTAAGACTAGAATTTAGTGACTTGAAACCCAAGGAATATTCATTACATACCCAATAAATCATTGGCTATATTTTGTAATCTCTTCTATTTTTTGCTTAGATCTCACTACTTCATTGTTGTTTTTGGGTTGAGCATTTCAAATGGCACTAGACAAGAACAAAGTACAAGGGAGCTCAAGAATAATGTCATTATTTATCGTCACTATTCTCTGTTGTATTATTTAAAACTGCCACAAAAATATGTATTAGTTTTTTTATACAACATTCTGTTTTGGACGAATTAATTAAAAATCGGTTCTTTACTAGGTGAATCAATATATACGCAATCAAATTCACCTAGCACTGTGTATATTGATATTATTTTTTACTTTATTCGAAAGATTGACGTTAATTAATTGCCAAGGATTTTATAGATTGAATTGTCTTTTAGTGGTGGAAGATGTTTTATGGTAAATTAAATGAAATCTGGGGGATTATTTCCGATTTTAAACACGTTGGCACCTTATAACTACTTTGCAACTGATCATATTGATACTTGCTATGTGCCTGCTATTATTCTGTATTCGGATTCTTTTTTTTTCCAAAGGAAAAACGTTTTGATGTCATTATTTTACAATTGCTTATATGCAATTTGTGTATTTCATCGACACAGATTTTCATTAGCGTTATCAGAACATATAGAAAATCAATGCAATCAGCTTTTATTATGTTTATATAATCATTAAGCATTGTCTGCCTTCTGCGTTTTGAAATTAAATTATTATTAGTTAGTAGTTTTCCGATTCATTACTTTTTAAGGGGTTTGGAGTTTAATATCTTTCCAGTTAAACGAAAGTCTATTGACTCAATATTAGGACTACTTCGTTAAGTACAACTTTTGCGTACTGAGATTTAAGACTGCTTTTTAGAGATATATATTGAACATCAATAGTGTATATCTTTTCATTGGAACTGCTTTGCCAGTGAACGTAGTTTTAGTGTAGAAATAAACTAATAATAAGCCTAATCCTTAGGAAATAGACCTCGGCAACTCATAAAGCCCACATATAAGCTCATGATATTTCTTATATACATATATTTATATATGTGTTCACAGACAATATCCGTCTGAGTATCAAAGCTCTATTTAATTTATAACCATTTTGTATAGTGGTTGTTACTTGTGAAAAACTACTAAAATATGACTTCATGGAGAGTCAACCCTTAATATACCTCAAACATTAGAGCAACGACTAAGAGAAAAGGTGCTGCCATTGATATGGCATTGGGATAAGAAGAATCTCTTAGACAAAAACCAAATTAAATAGTCAGGCAATTAATTAAGAGTCTCGGGCCTCAGCAACTAAAGAGTTGGTGTTGGGGAAAATAAATGCTTATATTATGTCCATGTTTCGCTTCTCTGCCAACCTATAATCTTTCTATTCTTATCCATACATCAATTTCTTCTATGCGATCCCTGTAGATCCTCAATCTTTTCCAATTTATGCCTACTATCAAAGTCGATTGGACTGCAACCTTAACATATTACTATTAAGATATTTCTTCCGATATAAGCACTGAAAATTCTTTACTATGATGCATAGCGCAGAGAATTTAAATGTTGTCACACCTCTTATTAGTAGCCTCTATAAAAGTTTATCGTGGATATTTAGTTTGCTTGATCGATGACCCATTGCATGCCCTATAATCTTCTATTTCTTCTTTTACCAGCTTTTCATTGGTGACTTTCGCTACCGATCTCTATCTCTTCCTGCTGGCTCAACGAATTATGCACATAGAGATGGGACATCTTTAGGATTTTTGACACCGACTTCTTCCGTTCAGCCTTACTATGATGGCCATCTCCAACCCAAACTGGTATCCGGTGTCTCTAGCCAACGCAGCACCTCAGAAAAAGTTCATAAGCGCAGCAAGAGCTCTGGAGATCGAGTGCATTTTGGTGGGCATACCTAAGCATTGGATTTGGAACCCTAAGGAACTTAGTCCCATGACATTATTTTATCATATTTTGACGTTTTCATGCACGTTGGAAAAGAATTAGTTTTAAATTATTGTATTTATATTCCATCTGTGTGATCTGTTTATTTGCGATAGCACGTTGTAAAACAATTTTGTATTCATAGTCTTATAACCAGAGTAGGGTGGCTTAATTTTATCCCTTATTCCTAGGCAAATATTTTATGCAGGAGGGTACGAAGTCATTACTTCCAATCTAATTTGTCTATTTATAATTGGCCTAGCGACTAGCTGACTTTATGATTTATTGTATATAATAATTTTCTTTTACAACATTTATTCTATCTTAATGCCCCTAACTTTTACCTTTTATTCAGAACCAACAAAATCGATATTTCCACTTCAATCTTTCGTCTACTCGACTCCTTCTGGCGTCATCCTTCAGAATACTAAGACAAAATTTTTCATTGGTCTGCATCACTCGGGTCTCATTGTATTTTGGGGTCAATTGCGTGTCGAAATACTTTCTTGGCATCGTATTCTCAAACTTGAACAGAAGGGGTTGGTCATTCGAGTGTTTTCAAGATATGGCCAGCTTTTCGGCTCAGCACGTTCGGTGAGCTTTGTAATAATAATCTCGATTTACAATTCTCTATTTATTAAATTAGCTTTATTTTTATTTAAATGACATTTTTAGCACAAGCTTCCATTTGTGTCATCCTTACATTCTTGTTGCATTAGAGGTTCATAGTACTGCTTGAAATGACTAAAACACTATTTTGTTTTAAACTCTTACTTATCTATATACGAAAAGTAGCTGGGCTCCGATGAA